CTTCATGAAAATGAAGACTGTCGCTGTTACACTTATCAATGTATTATGACATTCCGATTTTCTACTCTGATGAGTATGAATAAAATATATTATGGAGATTCCAAATGAGAACGTGAAATCACCTGGTAACCAGTAAATTCTTCGTTACTATTATGATTCTTTTATTATCTCTTGTAACGAAACGGTGTGTGTCTATTTTATTTTTATCGTATCACTCAACGATTTAAGCTCCGACTGGTTTCTTTTAATTAAAAGCATGATGGTGTAAAGTTTGTTAGCATATTCTGATATTCTACAGAAAATTATTGAAAACTACAGAGTATTCAACTTTCACTTTATCATGTTGTGAACTCATCAACAGCTGTTGGATTTCGAATAGACTAGACAACTGATTGACTTGAAGAAACACTGACTACCCCTCCCCCCCCCCCCCCAAAAAGAAAAGACCCAAAGTCCAAGGCTCATTTGTGTGGGTATTGCGGAATATTCAAAAAGTAGGATACAATTGCTATTCAGTTCCTCCTGGTTTTCACTGCTACAAGGAAATTCTTCGTACACAACTGAAGAGGATGCAATAAGTTTGTTTACATGGCCTGTTGATGACTAACTTGAACTTGCAAATATTAAGACGAATTTTATTAACAGAAAAGGAAAACTTGATACAAAACATTCTTATTCAAACAAAAGTAAAATAAACTGGACTTGACCGTGCCTTAATATAGTGTGAAAGCTAAATGTATCAAACGCTAGTCTCCAAATAACAGCATTTCACTAAAAATATCTGCGAGCCATGAAGTCAGGTTAAACTTTTCACATACACAACATAATCATGCACTGGTGCAACAAGCCCAACTCACATGAATTGATCGTACTACGATTATAAATGGCGCTCTTTGGTAAAGGTGTTATAGTCAAGCGACCAATTGTTTTTCAAAAAGCATATGAAAAAGCTCCATTGATTACTCCTAACAGAGATAGCATTGCACTAATAATTTCGAGTTATTCGATTAAAGTCACTAAATAACAGAAACATTGTGGACGAGCATTATGCGATTCACAATATGCAATTCAGAATGCGTTTCAGACTAAGTATGAGTGGTTTCTAAGTGTACCATAAACTTTAGAGGCAAGCCGTATTACAACTTAGTCGAAAAAACATAATGTAGAAGTGAATAAAGGGAGTATTATTTCGTACCGAAGTCTCGCATTTAAACCAACTTCTGCATTATTCTTAGATGTGGTACTGTAAGCGGCATTTGTTCTTTAATGATGATTTTGTTTCATATAGTTAGGTAGTCTGATTGATAGACACACACTAGAAATATCCCGTATTTATTGCGAAAATACTAAATCTGATTTGGGGGTCTGCAACGGTTTAATCATGGTTTTCATTACGATATAACGTTAGTTGAGGCTATGTAGCAACTTCCACTCGGGAGTCGGGCGTACAAAACGTCGACTTTCTGCGGATTTCAATGAACTTTCATATCTCCAATGGTATCGTGTTTACCAACGGACCTGAAGGTTCTAAGTTGTCTGGGAGGTTGAGAACTCGAAATAATGAGTTTAGAACTAGGAAGAAATATTTATTAAATATCCACGTGGCATATATAGGTAAAGGAAGGATACTATCTCACCTTATTGATGAGTGGATATGTTGATCTCAGTTTGACTAGTTTATTATCAAACTACGTTTTAATTCACTTATCTACCCAGGTATATGCTAGAATTTGCCGGAAGCGAATGTCAGTCAGGTGGATCCTAGAGAGAGTAAAGTCCGCAGACAGAAGGTTCATTGGCTAGATCGATGTCACACAAAACCAGTTATTTTATTATTTCAAAATCCAACCAATTAGGATGATTTATTTCAGTTCTGTAGAAAGTTCTACTTCAGCTGTATGTTGTTCTTATTAGTGACTTTTCAGTTACACAATTTTCGCAAGCTTAATTTCTTTTCATAAATCCCCCATTGAATAACCATTGTTTGTAACTCTCTATGCAGTTTGCAAGGTATGATATAAGAAGAAAGCTTATTGATAAGTCTAAGAAATGATTAATAATCATCATCATTTTACTTTACTCAGAAATATTTCTTCACTAAAACTTTAATTCTATTCTGCAATATTTCAGAAACGTCGATCATAAATCCTGTAGCTAATTTTCTGATAGTACTCATAAAAGGTAAAAAACAGGTGTTGTATGCGGATCATCTACTTATTTAGCACTCATTATCCAGGTTTCATAACGTTCTAACCAATCTGTTTAGCTATTTGAATGAGTTCTTTTGCTCCTTATATAGGTAAGTTTTGATATAATCCCAGCGTGTTTTCAAATTCAAAAACAAGATTTTTCTGAACGTTTTGCTGTGTATGCCACAACTTACTTATATGATGAATCAGCCTGACTCGGCACTCAACTTCTTTCGGGACATTCGTAACAACTATGACCCGGATGTTTACAATCAGAATTCTTTTGTTCACAACAATCTACTGAGAATATTTCACCCCACAACATACAGAAACGTATGTCCTACCAGTTAACTTCGCGATAAAATCTGAACTTCTGGTTTTACCTCAAGAAATCATTAGTATACTTTCATGACTGCTGAAAAACTCTTACATCCCCAGCTACATGGAGTAACCTTATTACACAGTGATAAATCGTACCATGACATTTTCGCGAATGCTTTTAATCTGGGTTGTGCTTGTGTACACCCACATGACGATATAATGAGAATTGTTGTCTATGCAAACTTTGAAACATGTACCAGTGGTGAACAAAGAATTACTCGTCTAATAGTCGCCAATATATGCTTGATTTACTTCGTGATTAGCATTATCATTATTGGCAAGAAGCTAAATAGTTTTCATTTGTCATGTTTCTCACGCTAAATCTTTCAATATTTTCGTATTTTCACAAAACTGACCCCAGCTTAAAATGGTAAACCACACGGAAAGAGAGAAAAAAGACTGTAGGAAAGAACGGCGTCTTGAGGAACACCAGCCCAAGTAAGCAACGAAGTGGAGCTCTTCCCTCTGCGGACGGTATAGTGTTTCCTTACAGAGAATTGGGAATACAACCAGTTGATTATTCAGGACTCAGTATGCGTCCCGACTAACCTTCCCAGCCAAAGAGGTCTTACAAAAGAATCAAATGCTCAAGTATATTCTAAAAAGACACACCTGATATGCTTGACATTCCCAGAGAGATCATAAGCAATATTGTGATATAAGATTGTGGTGGCATCCAGAGTTCTTCTTTTGCTTTTTCATTCAAACTGATTAGGATCTTCAAAAATCCCTAATGAGGGTTCATGGAAATGCATTATTCGTACCTCCACTATTTTCAAGAACGAAGAAGTAACTGCGATTCGAGGAAACTTCAAACATGCACACGAAATTACCGACTTAGGTACTGGGACTACCTTAATATCTTTCCGGACGGCTGGTATGACGTCTTCTGAGAATGATATACTAAGCATGTTGGCTAGTGAATGGCACAATATATCATCACATTTTATGAATATGAAAATTGGCACGCTTTCTGGAACCAAACAGTGTTAAGGGTCCACGGATATGAGACACCTGAAAACGCCTTTCTGGGTGAATTCGGGACAGCATTCTTCATAGGAAATGGGAGAACAGAGTGGGATGGGATAGTTGGGTTGGCGTATAAACGATATGTTTGAAGCACAGACACCTACACATGCTTCTTTACTACGCCATTTACTACCAGTAACGTCATAAAAAAGTTTCCACATCGTGAAAGAGACTTTGGATGACTTAAGTTTCTGGTCACACATTCGACTAAGACGTTTAAATTTCTGATTTAATTAAAATGTTCAGTCGATGAATACGTTACTTTATGTAACCTTTCTTTCTCTCTCTTTAGTCTCTTAAGTTGAGGAGAATATATACAAATGAAGCGCAGAAATAGTTTTCTACTAGGGCAACAAATATCTAGGCAAAACTTGAGATAGAATGTCACACCATTAACAGCGTCCTTCAAAATATCGCTGTCAAATATATACCAGTCTGGAAATCCCAGAATTATCCTGTAAAGAAACTCTTGTTTACTTGAATTTTCCCGGAGGGTTAACAAACTTCTGGCTTTTAAAAAACAATATTTTTCTTGAAAACATATGCAGTACACTCCTATTCCCTAGAAAATTAAATATTTCCATAAAACTTCGTACTATGAACAAAACTTTCAGTAACCGCTCCAGAGCTAAGAACATGTGGATATTTGTTAAGTAAAGCAATGGATCTGTATATATGTTCTACTATATGTATCTGTTTCACTAAAAAAGTAAGATTAGTTTTACTAAAGATGAAAATGACATTGTTCTAAATAATAGAGTAAATTTCAACACAAATAAATATGATAATATACTTATTAACACTTAAAGGTGGGTTCAAATAACAGATCGATGACTAATGAACACCTTTGATTGGTTGCCACTTACATTAAAACAGTATCAACAATACTAAATACTGATTTGTAATACCATGCCATGCAAAAGATATCTATAGTAGGGATAGAGAACAGTCATTTTAAAAATTACATGCTGTATTGCTGATGGGATTGGTTGAAAATTTTGAATATTCATAATCAAGTTGTAGTAGAGAGTATGCTTATAAGAATGATCAAACGTTTCTCCACTGAGTGGAAGCCATGTGATTGCAGTTAGTAAGTAGAATTCATGACTAGTGGCAGGAGCATGTTAGTAAATGAAGTAAGGTGATATGGCCCAGAATCAATCTCAGTGGTGTAGGTAAACCTAGGCGTTATCTTCATCCTAATCGTCATACTGAATTCCTGTATTGTCTCATTCCTCCTTTAACGACTTTCTATCACGGTTTCTCATTACTTTATCTTTCATCTTGGTACCTTCTACCTTGATGTGCTGATGAAGTGCAGCAAATTGAAATGTTACACAGTAATTCCTGGCACCACGTTGATGCTGACCGACTGACTACCGTCAACATCGATGACGTCTGGATGAACGCAACCAAATCAAACTAGACAACCACATGTAAACGTCAGTAACGTCCATTTTAAAGTCTTTGAATAAAATACTACAGAAACTCTAGTTATTTCAGAATCTGATGATTAAGTTTGAAGGAAAACAAGTTAGTCGTCAACAAATACACATGTTTGATACGCAAAATGAAGTGAAATTTCACCTCCTTAAATAAAGGGCTTACTGAACAACAAACTGACTCCTTAAATCACAGAATAACCTTAGTTTTGGATTTCCATTCAGCAGCTAAAACGCTGACGAAAAATTACGACATAAAAAGCAAATTTCAAGTTTGAATACGATAAAAAATAGAAATCTTGATGTGAATAAGGCATTAGTATCATCGTTTATTACTAAGAATTTTACATATGATTAGGTTGTATTTATCTATACATGGATACAAAAGTCCCTTTTCGCTCAGGAATGTAATCACAAACATCTATTTGTCAGATATACCCACTGACGAGATATCTTCGAATAAACTGGTTGATTAACGCAACAGTAAAATAACAGACAAAACTGTGGTCATATGTACAACGCATTGGCTAAGGACACTTCGAAAGACAAATATGAAGGCAATGTAAAAGTCAAAAATACCTTTTTGAAACGACTGAAGAGAACAGAGAGGACTGGAAAAATAACAATTTGATAAATTAGATTAACAAGTTATCCAAAATGAAACTCAAAATGTGCTCCATCAAATGGATGCATATGAGGGAACGGGAAACCATCAAAAGGATGACTACCAAACGGGTTTTGGCCTTGGTGCTCAGGATCCAGTGGGTCAATACCATTATCGAATTGAGCTCTTTTTTCTGCACAAATATGTGAAAAGAAAACACTAGGCGATAGAAAGTGCTTATTTTATACAAACTGTCTATTAACGCAGAAAAGCTTAAAAAAATTACTGGTCACCTGTATGAAGGAAAATATCTTCACAAAAGTGAGTTACATACAATAATATTTAAGGATGAGCATGCACTATACTTGCAATCAGTAGTTTGTAAGGTACATGCTTACTGGTGACTTTACAAGCACAGCATAAAGTTCCAAGATCAAATTTGGAAATTTCAGAGAGAGAAAATAAACATATAATTATTTTTTGGGCTTTAAAGGCTAATCCCACTGTTACTGCATGAGATGAGCGTACATTTAAGTGAACTTAATACTTTCAGATTACGAAGCTCAAAAAGTAAAATTAGGTCTGATTCTGTGCAGAATCCATTCAGCAGCGAATTATCCCGATAACTAATTCCAACTTTATTTTAACTAGGATGCACAGTAAAACTCAAAGCAGCACATGTTAATGTAATACAGTTATTGTATGAGGGCTAATACTGCCATTTTTTCCGAGTAGAAGCATTACGAACAGGATTTTAGTGACTTGTTTGGAAGCTGAGTACCCAGGCCAATGAGCCATATCTCAATAAAATGTTTCCTGGAGATAGAGGTTTATTACGTACCATATGCTTAGTCTACTCCAGAAAACGCAGATCTATAATCTCATCAACTTGCCATACTGATACCGCTTTACGCAGAGTCTCAACATTAAAGCTAGTGGACGACAAACTATTGATGCTTCAAAAATAACCACAAGGAAAACCTGTACCAGTTGCACGTTTTCTACATTTATCGGCCATTCCTTAAATATCTACATAGTGTAACAAAATGCTACTGCTGAGTACATTTAATAGGCATTTGGATATCTAACTTGCATACCAGATGGCAGCTGTTGGTAAAAGCCAAACGGATTCAGATACCTAGCCACTCGAAGGAATGACTGTACAAGTGAAATGGTCAACATTATCAACCACTTCTTGTCAACCTTCATATAGTTGTAGATCTATCATGAAGCAGCATTTTGTATTTAGAAAGAAACATCTCGAAAACTATTATGTGTTTACCCGAAAAGCTCAGTACTAATGCTACCTTACTTCACATGAAGCTACTGAAATTTAGTGGTTTCCCAAAGTTTTCTTTTACTACTTTTGTGATTGGTTTGAAAAATGATCTGATGGGTTTGTATTTTAAACACCTAACGTTTAACGATATATTTATAAGAATTTCCAGACAGGCACTGTTACTTTCGAAGTACTTGTATTGTCAAGTAGTATGTTTTATGAAAATCCCCATTACGCCTCACCAGCTGTTTAGCTAGTCACTCATCAAATTCAAATCTGATATTTTCACCCATGAGGTAAGTTTGGACAGGAATACGAATAACATTTCTGCCGTACATAACAAACAAACAAGAGCAGTTATTTAATTGCATTGTGTGAAATACACCCATCGGGATTTGAAAGAAGAACAAGAGACTTCGTTGAAATACTTGTTCTTCTTTCATATTCAATTTTAGTCAGTGGGCTGAGCATAAACTTTCTTTTGAGTTCATATGGATTCGTACCCTAATAAAGCCGTTATTCCATGCTTTATGAATGAATGCCAAAACAGTGATGCATCCAGACTTTTCTAGTTAGCAGGAAAAAAACACTGGAAACCAACTAGAAATCCGAAGTCGATTTTGTAACTTCTTTATGTCAGAGCTTACTTCACTGGAAACCCTAAATTAAAACTGAACCTGAAAAAATTGTTCGTTTATGGAATATATACTTGTGCAAAAATATTGAATGTTTAAGAAATATCACAGTGAAACAGCATCATTTACTGGATAAAATATGGAACGCTTCACGATTTTGCGTATCATCCTTGTACTCGCTTCGAAGGTACATATACTAACATTGGAATGATACAGAGAAGATTACCATGGACCCGTGCGCAAGGATGACACGCAAAATTGTGAAGTGTTCTATATTTTTACCCAGTAAATTATACTGCTTCACTGTGTGATATCTCTAAGAAACCGACTGAAATGGAAGTTTCAACTTGGTTTGCATATCAATAAATATATTAATGTCACTGATGAGGAGACAGTTACTTAATATTTGAAAAACTTGTCATTTATTTTAAATTGAGCTATATTCCACTCAGCCACTGATGTACGGATGCATATCCTGTTCCCCTTACCAAGGTTTGGGCTGAGAGGTAGTTTTTACCTAATCTGTACCCGGCAGTTTAGTTGAACAAATTCATACTTCACCAGACATCAGAAACAGCAGGATTTTTTACATGAACTTTCGAAACCCGAAAGCTTCAAACAATGATGAGATAATGAGCTAGAAATAAAATGAAGAGGATTATAGTTATCTTAGTGCAAGATTTTACTGATATCACATCTAATTGCGTGCCCAGCTGGTTCAATCACAACTTTACGTACTTCGATGCAGGCAACTAAGTGGTATTGTAAGTTCCTAAGGAATACACGTGGCTCACAATGTAGTGTATAAACACATTTACGGGGGCTAAATTGCATCATTTTTAGGTTGTAAACTATAAATTCGTCAAAATTCCGAATAAAGGTTCTCTTGAAAATTTACGGAAACAATCTGAAATATTTATGAAACTCACCACTGTCCGTAAGGACCTCCTTAGCTGCAGAGATTTCGACGAACTTTTTTCAGCTTGTAACCTTTCTTCACCCTGGAACTTGTCTGGATGATATTCAGCCGCTAGTTTTCGGTATGCTTTCTCGATATCTTTCTTAGAAGCTGATTTCGTAACACCGAGGATTTTGTAATAATTGCGACGCTTGCTTGCCTTCAAGAGTTTTTGAGCTTTCTTCATACCCTCCTTTGCCTTCTGATTATTAGATTCGTGTTCTAGTATTTTTTGATACGTTGATATAGCTGAAAGATTTAGTGATACAAAAAAAGATATGTATACACAACAAACTAGATCAGAAAACTTCGACTGTATTCAAAGCAAATAGAAGCTCCTACCTGAAGAATTCCACTGAATCCTTTTGGTGACTTAAAACATATGTTAATATTAATTATAGTCAAGTGAATTATTCAGAAAAAATGAGAATACACTCAGCTTTAGTTTGGCCTTTATAAGAGTATTCCAAACATTACAAGAATGCAACCCTGAATACAATCAACACATAACTGAAACAGTTGGAAGTGCATTTCATGAGTTTAAGACTGAATTTAATGATGACAGCATGACAGATAATCTGTTCGATGGATTTACTGCTGAAAACTCCACATTTACTTGAGTACAATTCAGATAAGCAACCAGTGGTGATTAGCTTCAAATTGGTTCGAATCTGCGTTTTAATACTGTGACTCTAATTAATGAAACAACAGTTCTTATGAAAGAATTAAACATTAATACAGGGCCCATCCAAATCGCCACTTCTAACTCGGAGGTTACAAGTCACCTATTCTAGTTTTTCAGTGCCAGCTATAACTAATGGCGGGAGAAGTAAATCTCACTACCTGCTTATTCAGGTACATAGTTAAGAAATGAAGTATGACTAGAAAATATCTGCTAACCACAACCTATTCTGCAAAACAAGAAGTAAAAGATCCAGTAAGAAAAATAGGAAATATACTACTTCAAAAGATCGATTTTTAGCACTAACAACCCGGAATGATTTTACAACATTTCGTAGAGGTCTCACAATGCGTTGAAGATGAAAAACTTAATTAAGTATATTTTGTTGCATTGGGGTATTTAACTTAAAAAATATTTTACTCAGAATTTACTCAGTAGTTTTGTAACCATTTTCCTAGCTTTCTTCCGACCGGTTAAGTTGTTTTATGGCTAATCGTTAACTGCAAATGTTGTCCCTCAATTCTGCAACCTAAATAGATTTGTTTTATACTTATAATTTATTGTGGGTTGTGAACATGTTACTCAGTCGCATGAAAGCATCAGCTATAAACATAAAGGAATCGCAAGTGAAAGGAATGTGAGTGTTTCATCTTAAGTCCAAATCAGTGACTCACAGACGTGGAGAAATTATAGGCAAGTATGGTTCATTTAGACACCGAGGTGCATCGAAACTATAGTCATATACCAATGTACAGGTTATTTTATTAGTTATCAGTACCCCTCATGTGATATATATATAGATATATATAATTCAGTATCAATGTAGGAACACGTATTACTGCGTAACGGTCCAAGTTGTCACACCTCATATCAGTACGACAAGTAACAATGCAATAAGATCAAAGATGGAGAAGAACCGCTAAAAACAGTGGAAAGCAACAAAATAATAGGAAGGAGGAAGGAGAAAACAATGAATTCAGTATGACGATTAGAATGAAAATAATACGTAGATACATTTGCGCCAGACACCAATTCTGAACCATATCAACTAGTCTTCAGCCGTTAGTTACCGTTGTCACGTGAATCCCAATTGGCTAGTCTACATTTCCTCACATAGCTCAGACCAACAGCCAAGTTTCAGTCTTGCCATCCCACACTTTTTTGCAGCCTCAACCTACTTCAGCAAACATTTCACGACTAGCAATGCGCAGCACATATCCCGACCACCTCAGTCGATGAAAGTTCACAACCTCATCAAATGGCTTCCTTCTGCTCCTTAAAACTCTTCACCTGAATTCTGCATTACTGATATGGCGACACTACAACATGGCCTATGCTGTGAAGGTCACGGTGGTTAGAAACCTGGGGTCTTCTCACGTTCTCCACCTTTAATGCTCATGTTTGCATCTGTATATTCGAAGCGAGCGAACTGGAGCACAGTACACTCGACCCTTAATAGACAATCGAATAGTACAGAGACACAACAAATGGCGTAAGTTGGCAAGAGTCAGCGGAGACCTTTGAATGAGTGCAGAGATTCTGCCGGCCACTGACCTACCAAGGTTGATCCAACTTTCCAGGTAGGTAGGTAGGTAGGTAGGTAGGTAGGTAGGTAGGTAGGTAGGCAGGTGGAGTCAGTGCACGCAACCACTTCACTCTTTGCTGTTAACCCGGGCACTGCTGAAGACCAGTCTTAGAGCAACAAATTGCATCTAGGTCCCAAGAAACGCATCCCAAACATTCTCAAATTGCTACTCAAGGTGTCAAGAAGACTTTATATGATGTCATGGTCTTCCCATAATAGGACTATGTCAACGGCGCATTCTAGATCTACCAAGGTTTTTTCGCATTTGCTGTTCACAACCTCTACTCAGACGCCTACTCAACATAAAGCATAGGATTTTAGACTCCATAATTGTCAGGATGATCCCTTTTTGATTATCACAAGAGGATTTCTCACCTTTCTTGAAGACTGATGATAGAGATCATTCATTTGGGATCTCATCTGACTCCCACATACCAATTAACACTCCATTTGACTAAAAATTCTTGGTCATTGACTTTAAATACCTCTGCTACTAGTCCGTCTGGTCCTGCTGATCTTCCTCGTTGGAGGTTACTCAAAGCCTCAACTGTAAGGGGTCCTACTTCAATACTTTATTCAGGTTCCGACTGGATAACGGGCAATAGAAAAGTAGCTGGAGACCGGTTGAATTGTTCCTCGAAGGTTCTGTCCATCGTTCTATTTGTCTGTCCTGCAAGTAAATCACAGACGCATCCTTTTCATATGGGCCAACTAGCTATTGCTTTTTTTTGCTTTAGTTTCTTGAATAAGTCTAAATAACTGCCTACTGTTAACTATCGCCGCTGCCTTTTCCATTTCTTTAACCTTCGCTGCCCACCAGTCTAAACCTTGGGCTACTAAAAATTTGCCATTGAACATAATACATCAAATTCCTTCCTATCAATTTGTTTGCATTTTTTAAATATGTCTCTGACACGTTTTATATACCCTTGCACACTTGTAAAATGGTTTCAAACTACCATTTTTCGACCTAACAACAAAATGAAAAAAAATAAGATACGCCGGTAAGAGATGGGCTTATATACGCACAGAAACATTCATTACTATTCCTTGGATAACTGTCAAATTGCAGATTTTCGTACTGGCTGAATAAACTACCAACACCAAAATTACGCTTGATACTCTATTTATTCACTAGTCTGGGTGCCTGTTTCACATTATGGCTTTTATTACTGTTATTATTGACACTATTCGAGTTCAGTGGTTATTTCGCTTAACGATGTTGTACAGGGAATGAATTCTTTGAACTATTACATGATGGGAATTCCATACTGCACCACATGCACTGATTGGAACAAAGATATTATTACTAATTTACTATCTTATGTAGACCTTTAGTCAGCCTACATCTAAGTTGCTTCTTGCTGCTCATTGTACTCGGAGTCTGCGCGTATTGCGCGTATCCATTAATTCAGAAGCTGCCACGATCCGCCAGCTTCTTTTATTCACTTTCTGAAACTCGGCTACGGTCTTCGACGCTGCCTTTACAGCGGACTGAAGATACCGCCAAACTTTTTCCGGATGGGTGCTCTTGTTCTGTTCTGCTAACTACCTAGCCAATTTCTCACTGAAAGAAGCCCTCAGAGCTCTCATTATCGAGTTGCACTTGCAAAGGTCCTGCCATTTAAGTTTATCTACGTCCATCAGTCTGGATGCAGGCATATACGCGTCCGAACCAAAGCATGGTTGCTGTCCGAATACGTTCTCTAAGAGGGACAGGAGTCCGCCGACCCTCTCCAGCGGTGACTGGTGGCAGTTCTGTCTATCTGTGTCCATCTCTGAGTTGAGCTTGGTGGACAATGTTTCTCTTTATGTCAGAATTTTGTACCAGCTGATAATAAATAGCTATTTTAGTACAGTTGTAGTGAGCAATCATCTTTATTTGTTCGTTCTTCCGAGATTCCGAAAGTGTCTCCTAAATGCCCATCCACTTGTGCATTGAAATCACCTGCAACAACCACCACATCTGAGAGCTTGGCTTCCAATAGAAGGCTAGAAAGATTTTGGTAGAACTCATCTTTCATTTGACTCTGACTGCGGTCAGTGTGTGCATAAGCTGGGACAACAGAGGCGGGTTTCATCATTCATTTAGGTCTCTAATGTACTGCTCAGTCGAACAGCCGACTATAAACTGGAATCCCGTCGAGCGGTGCACATTCTGTCTTAGTGCTCAATGTTATACCTGGAAGAACATAGGGAACTATATATATATAATGAATAGTGTTGATTGCACTGATGAGACATCATGCAGATAATGAGTTAGGTCGCTTGCAGACTGAAAAACCGACGCATCCACAAAAACTTGCCGATAAAGAGATCATCGCGACTTCATGCTAGATAAAGAAGTGGATAAAATAATTAACTATCAGCAACTCAGGTGATTTGGACATGTGTCATACATCCTAAGCCACTACCTACCTCCATGACCAATGTCAGTTGAAGTAGAATTAAGTTGGATGACCAGATCAAGACATGACATCAGTCCATGAAGTCTCTAACTGCTGACTCGAACAATGCGTGGAAATGTAGTCTGTTTGTCTGCTGCCCTCAAGATGTTAGCAACCAGGGATTGTAGACGTCCTGCGATATAGTTCGAAGTCGACCACAGTAGTTCAGACATTCATGATATCATTTTCGACATATCGAATATTTCATTGATTTTCACCTATTTAGTATTTTATCAGAAATATCTCCTGCTAATTTTAATATCATTTTATTTGGTTTACTTTGTTGTTGCGAACTGTGGCGACTAAACTAGTGCAATATTGTGTAGGGTTATAAGCTTATATCTATCTGGGTATTCCCGAGTCTATAGAGATGAATGGTGTATAATGATTACTATGAGGCCCTTGTGTAAAATACATGTCAAAGAAAGAGCCACTAGGTTCGGTAATCATAGGCACAACCATCATGTATACAGCAGTACTTGTTCATTTTTGAAAACTGTTCCAACTTGTTTAAACCACGAGATGCTTAATGAACGAGACGATTCATATGGTAAAGTTTTTCCGATAGACAATCTTTATTGACACCTGAAACGCTAGGTGTAGCATTTAATAAGTAACCTGGATAGCCTAAAGCATGGGCAATTTGAGTGTACTTTGAGTGGATGTCAAGGAGGAAATTCATTTGGTCAAACGCTGTAATACACCTACCTTAACCAAGACAATACTGTCAATTTCTCGAGCAGAAGTGTACCCTACAACTTTCTGTTAGACAGGAATATCTCTGGAGCTTTTTAACAGTTTATAAACTCTTAACAAATATACCTAGAAACTGCCCACCATTATAAACCGAAAGTAGGGCTAGACAGGATAACCCAACTTCAACATTCAAATGAGTACTGAAGGGAGTAATGTGATAGTAACAGAGATGCTACTCGAAAAAAAAAACTCAACCATAAGTATTTACAAAATACCATAACGAGGAAAAAACTCCAACACATAGCTTTACATCACCGGAACACTAGCAGTAGTAGAGTATAAAAAATGGCTTTATTTCACTCTCATGATACACAACTGTCATGAGCCAAAGATGAAGTTCAACTTATTTTAATATGATTAGTTCCTGAATGATGTTCCTCGATGTCACATGTATACAGACATCAACTTTTGTGCAGTTCCATTAGATATTACTTATTATACGACGACATACCACTGAAGATTTTAAAAACTTTAAAGACTTCCCAAATATGAATGAAAGAACGAATAACTTAAAACGACACAGAAAACATCAATGACACTGAATCTTACCATCTTCAAATCGGTCGGCATTTAAATAAGCTTCAGCCTGGTAAAGTTGGAATTCAGTACTTTCAGGGTACTGCTGAACGACGGATTCACAATAAGGAACTCCATCAGCACTTTTTGACTACAATATGAAAGCATTACACAGGAAAATCATGCAGTGTGAGTAGGTGAATTATGCACAATTTTTTAATGTCCAGCAACACAGGACAAAATTAAAGGACCATATGAGTGAGACAAGCATTAGGAAAAGTATACTCATGACCTTTGGTAGGAAAATATGCCTGTTGCATACCGAGTGATAAATATGAAAACTAAGCATGAATTAACCGTGCTTCATCAGTTTAGGTACACAAACAGCAATGTATGTGAACCAGCGTGGCACATTTCTGGGTTTGATTTACATACTTTTGTTTGTCCCGAACGGATTCAAAGCTCACACTAGCGCATGAATGTTGTATTCCGAAACAATTTTTAGTGAGTACCAGGCTCCCTAGATCGATAAATCATACGACAGAAAGATTTATATCCTAAGTTCAAACCAAATGAAACACCTAACACAATCATACACAGTACAACAAAGGATTACCATAGATAATAAATTGTGTCCAGAGCGTAACCTAGTAAATAATACTGTTTAACTGTGATACATCTAATGAATCAAATAAAATAGAGCGAAAGACTGAGACTGAAGGGTATTTTTGCCTTCTTTTTATGCTGGAAAATTTGCGAGAAATATTGAACAATTTATCAACTTAACCCAACGAGCTAACTCATAATTAATCAGCTATCTATCCATCTAGTCATTACACCGAGCTGGTAACTGTAGAATTCAGTCAATAACACTTATTTACATACGGTGCGCCAAATACGCATGATACCAGTGAACTATCGTAAACAACCAAAACTTCTATTCTAGAATAAACGTTTATCGGCCTACTTTAACATACTGCAGAAAAAAAATAAATTAAAAATAAATGTTGGGTTTAAAAAAAGGAAATAAGATTAGGAGGAACAAACGCAAGCTACCGAAATACTTAGAATCATGAAAGGAAAACAATGGCCTGTTGCGGTCAATTCTCAGCTACTTAAATGAGCTTTCGAATTTAAAAGAAACAGAAATTTTAGACGACCAATATTTTTAATCCCAATAGCAGCCTTGAAGTACATCTCATAAAAAGTAGTACTCTACAGTAAATGCTAAAAATGACAATTTATATTAGGTGTCGACGGAAGTGTACCATTGGTTATAGACCAAGTCGGCGTAATTTCATAACCTCAACAAAATATCTTGCGATAGACGGATAGATACACGCAGAACACCACACAATATTGCACTAGTTTAGTCGCCACAGTTCGCAACAACAAAGTAAACCAAATAAAATGATATTAAAATTAGCAGGAGATATTTCTGATAAAATACTAAATAGGTGAAAATCAATGAAATATTCGATATGTCGAAAATGATATCATGAATGTCTGAACTACTGTGGTCGACTTCGAACTATATCGCAGGACGTCTACAATCCCTGGTTGCTAACATCTTGAGGGCAGCAGACAAACAGACTACATTTCCACGCATTGTTCGAGTCAGCAGTTAGAGACTTCATGGACTGATGTCATGTCTTGATCTGGTCATCCAACTTAATTCTACTTCAACTGACATTGGTCATGGAGGTAGGTAGTGGCTTAGGATGTATGACACATGTCACAACCACACGGGTCAGTAGAAGTTTGCAACTTCATTAATTGGCTTACCAACCTAGTGTAGCACTCGATACCTTATTTCAGTATGACATCACCTTGTGATTCTGAAAGACCCAGACAATGTCACTCAGTAATCTTCGGTAAAATATCTGGAATTTCCTCGTACCTTACGCTACCGATGTGAGATGGTGCAATTCAGTAGGTGTCTCTATAGTCTTTTGTATTCGTCAAAAGACTCAATCCCCATCTCAACTGAAGTGGTCAACCCACTCGATGACTTCTCTTCAAACCCGAAGACTAGCAGTCGGAGCAGACCAGATCTGCTGCATGATCTTACAAAATGCTTGGTAGACATACATAGTGTTGCTCAAGGTTTTCGCAAACCCCTGTACTTTGTCAGCGTCTTTACAAAAAAGGACTAAGTTACCTGCGTACACTCAAGTCAACCAGATGCTTTGCAAGGTGCAAATAGCTTGGGTGCGTGTATGAAGAGTGAAACTGTTCTGAAGATAAGTTATTAAATGTAGTGATTATTATGGTTATTATGTTCTTCGCATCCTTATCAATGCTATGATTCTAAAAATGTTAATAAAAATAAACATTAAAATGCACTCAGACACCTTGTGCACATCCGTGCAGTAGGCAGTGGGACCACACCTGTTGTGTGAAGGCTATTGATAGTACCTGGCCGTTCAAACCTCGGTAAGTTGAGCGGGGTTCGAGCCCGCGACCCAATGGCTGGTAGTCATTTCCTCAAACCACTGTCTACAGCTTCACATTCAAGAAATCTTATCTGAGAAAAACCAGAAATTCTATGAGATGAGGATATGGTAAGGAGCTTTGGTAGCTATAGCTGTCTTCCCGAGCTACTCTATGTTAAGATATTGTGAACAGATGGAAATTGTTTATGTTGAGTACATTCGGTAACGTTTGTGAACCATTATAGTGGATTAGTTGAATGAAGCTTATATTGCAATCGGCCAGAGTTAATTTTGTACCTGCTTCTCTGTACTGCTGCTGTGCCGTGATCTGAACCTAAATGCTTACTTAGTACTCATAAAGAAAGATATTCGTTGTTTAGAAGTCTTAAATCCTATGGTCCTACTGTACACCCCGATTAGCAACTGTTATAACTTACAGATATGACAAAAATCAATACAGAAAACAGTTCGAACTGTGACAAAGGAGGTATAAAAGCACTGCATTCACGTTTAAGTGCGCAGCTCATATGGAATACGGGAAAATGACTGACCACTGCATCTAAGGGTGTAAATGTACTTAGTTATTTTCGTACTAACCACTCAGTATAACGTCTGAAAAGAGAACATTTGTGTTACTTCACTTCGATTTGCGATCATTTAAACTTGCTTTTAAGCTTCTAAAAAAATGGCTTTCCATCCCAACAATTTCAGAAATGATTTCTAACTTTTGGGTGGATATGGTGAAAACACCATTAAACTTAATACGTCACTTACAGACTCAGCAGTGTCGTCTTTAATATTTCAAACATTCCCACTAATTTCTATTCATCTCAACCCTCATCTCTCACACACCTGTCTACTTGTGTCTTCTCATATCCGATTCCTGCGGAATAGCTGTGAAGTGAAGCTACTTTGAGTGACGCATCTGTGCCATATTTTACGTCAGTCTATCTATTTAGAACAATTCTTTGTTTTATATCCATAAAATTAATCACGAACATACCAAAACCATAATATGAAAGTAGTGCGCTCTTGTGTCTCTATAAGTGATGAGTTGGTAGCTATCTTTGGTACGAAACCAAGAAATTGTGTGAAAACAACCACCTTTGTGAACAGCTCGAGTGGAATTCCGCAGATAAATAAATTCCATTGATTCTAGGCTGAAAACATTATAGAAGTTGGTAGACAACAGATGTAAATTTAAAAACAGAAGCAGCTTAATGTAACTTGGTATGACCAACTCGAATGGTGGAAAAGATGATAGTCACTACATGCGACAGAATCTGCTGCTATTGAGAATCATAAAATCCACAAATATCGAATGATAACGTACCTTCGCATGACAGTGGCAAAGACTAATATTTGCTTGATTTTCGTATTCTCGGTTAGAAGACTCCAGTTTGACAAGTTGTGTGGCTGCCCTGATGCAATCAGAATACCTTTCTGATTCTAAAGCTTCTTGAGTAGCTGTTATAGCTTTGGCAACTTTATTAACTTTTTTGTAAAAGCTTAGGCAGGCTTTATCATCCTGATCTAGCCTCAGACATTCTCGGAGTTCATTGACTGCTTGAACGGCAAAACCAGCATCATACATTATTTGACTGATTCTAAGCAAGCCTTCGCGATTGTCATTCGTCAGATGAACGCCAAACCTCATCTCTTGAATACCCTAAGGACAATTATATACTGCAAAACATTACCTTTTGAACATCTCCCAGACTTAGATAACACCTTGCTCGTAATTCACGGAGCTCCTCAGCAAAATCGATCGACTCTACCAATTTATCCAAAAGTAATAGAGCCTCTCGGAATTCACTGTTTTCAAGAAGTTTGCGAGCAGTATCCCAACGGTCTTGTAGTTCATGTATTTCGGATATTTTGGTACTGGCGTCCGAGTCATGAGTTAGCTACCTAATAAATTTCTACAAAATTAGCAAGTACCACAGCTTCATAATCTTCCAAAGCTTCCGTCAGTTTTCCCATCCTTATTTCTACATAAGCTCGATATTTTCGGGCCTGTGGACTAGATGAGATGCACGAATATTTACTCACAGGAATGAAACCAGGGTTTAGTTCCAAAGCTCTGCTGAAATCAGAAAGAGACATCCTACAATTAGCCAATGCAATGTATGCGGTGCCTCTTTTGTAATGAGTCATATAATTATCAGGGCTTTTCCCTAAGAAGGTATAAGTGTTTACCAAACATACCCACGGCATCATTATACATGGAGAGAGCTTCTTCAAATTTTCCAGATGCAAGAAGTCGAGTACCTTTCTCAAGAACGTCATCCACATTTGCATACGCTGATAATACTGCTAAAAAATGAGAAATTTTAAAATATAAAGACCATACTTAAGGTTTGGAAACATGTAAGAGTAAGGAAATAGAATACAGATATTCTCCCACTATACTCCACTGAAATATCGTTAACCATCCTAACAGTGCGGACAATAATCCGTGTGTGTCTACATGATTGGCTAATGATGATACCATACAAGTACAAACAAAGTCCAACGCTCAATACCTTCAGAAAATTTTTGTTGATGGTAACAGAGGGTGTAATTCACAATAACTATTGTGAAATGCACCAGTTGTGTATTAAAAGGCAATTAATAGTCTTCAAATTCTTGGGACTTGTTCTTGTGGCCTAATTTATTCCGTGAAGTTGCCTCCCATTTTCTTTTAGCTCTGATTGGTTTTTATGAGGTTTTTCCCATGAGTGTAAGCTGGGAAGACAACGCAGTTACACGGCTATTGGCAGTTTTTGAAGATCTTGTGACCCCAGTCTGTGTAGTTGCTTGTGGCCGGATTGAAGTCAGCTAAAAAGTAGGGTAATAAGTCCAGCTACTTTTATGAAAACAAACAAGTAGTAGGGGTATGAAAAGGATGAAACCTGTAGAGTGAATAACAGGGAATCGAGTGATGTCAGTAGTTGCTGCCGTCTGGAGCAAAGAAGACGCAAAAGTGGAGAATGTCGAAGTGTGGATGCCTGCACACTGAAGCAAAACTAGAGAACTGGAGCCACATGACGCTGTAGTAAAACAATATTTGGCCACTGCCTATACTTCAGTGTTTGATCATTTATTTTAGGCCTAACACTATTTTGGCGCCAAGAAACTGCACTGCGGTTTCTTCAAAGGTCTGGAGAAGCAAAGGCCCAGATTCCACAGCGTTAAAGATTCGACTATTATCTAGGGTCTAAAACTTCATTTATGGCAGGTCCCTACGTCGAAGTTACTCCTTCTCCCTTTATTACTCCTCACAAGTTAATGCTTACGAGGCAACAACAGGTGACCAAACTTTTGTAAAAATGTGTAGTTATTTGATGTACTCTGAGTCTTCAACTTTGTCCTTGTGCGTTCGCCATCAGGGTAAGAGATTCCACTGAAATTTACTTCTCAAAAACGCCATTAACAATCTTTTGGTTCATTTCTCGACGGAAGCGCTTCGCGGATATGGTTCGGGTCAGGAAGAGAGAAGCCAACCGATGTTTATTGTGATTATTCTTTGTCCCTTAGGTTCCTAGTCAAACATCGGGCTTCAGTAGCAGCCATTTCATTCTCTTCTCTGCAGTCTTTTCAACCTGGCTCCACAACTCCACAAAAGATCTACTTTCTTCCTAACGTGATCTCCCCATAGCGCCCCCAGGGGCCCAACTCATTGCTCCTCATTCGGGTTCCACTACACTGCCTGATGAGTGATTTCCCCAAATGGTCTCGTCAGTCAATGTCCAGTTCAATCCACCTCCACTTTCCCCTGCATGTATGTTGGACGATGGGTTCTTGGTTGATTTGCTGCCAGGCAGGAGCTTCCTGTTACTAATTGCCATTATCCTCGTCATCCGACCTTCAGTATCGAGCGAGGACAGAAGGCAACAGCTGGTGAAAATCTGCAGTTTGTTGGAAGGCTTTCCGCGAGGGCCCAAGGTTCTGAACAATCATATCGAAGCACTAACTTGGCTAAACTAAAGTTGAAATTTCGGACACCGCTCACAATCTACGCTGAGCGCATCGCACTATAAACCCACCCTAATTTGAGATTGATGAAGGCCCGTCTTGCTGATTTTCCGATCCTGGCTACTTTGACACCCTCATCTGTGTCACCGTCTGTAGTCGAAACGATGGTGCCTGGGTGGGTGGAAGAGGTAACTTCCTTTGGATTCCTCTCACTGATGGACATTGGCGCCCATTGTTGTTGGTGGGTGTCTTCATCACTTCTGTCCCCTCTACGTTCACTCGAGGTCCCATCTTCACTACCTGGCCTCTTCTACCAACTTGTTAGTTTTCGCCCTTAGACCTTCGACTTTGTGCGACAGGCCACCAGACATGGATCATCAACGAAATCCTACCCTTCTGGGGTCTTTTCTCCGGTCCAGACAGTATATGCTCATCTTCCTGCCCCCCTTATCTCAAGCAAAATCTTAGTAACAGAGAATCTCATCACTTTATTGTTCTCTAATGAATGGAGTAAGAGATTCGCAACTATCGGGGATACTGGGGGTAACGTTGTAAGGAAAATCCCGAGTCTTATCAACATGACATCATTCTGCCTCTTAGCCGTTGGTGAAAGTGATATGCATATCTTCATATTTTTGTCTCTTGTGCTGAATACTTGCAGAAGGTACATATTCCTCACGAATTTACGACTATGGCATCTGACCTGTGTTGTCGAGCAACAACCCGTGTATAAAACACGGCACACACGCGCCGTATCTATCAGTGTACAGTGAACAGCCGATAGCCACTTTGAAATACAATCATAATCCAGAGGAGGTTGGAAGGGGGAATGAACTATATGGTGTTTTTCCCGTCATATACATGTTTATTTGTAGTGCCTGCCAAACTTCGTTATGAATTTCTACCTGATGTAAAGTGTGTAATCACAATTTGCCTCTATTGAATGATGGATAATCCTTATGTACTCGTTTGACATTATCCGCTGAGGTAACCCATCAGAGTACCTGAAATAAAGGCGTCAGGCCGCTGCCACTTGCTCCTTGTTTGCTACCTTGTGGTTGTCTAAAATAAATCGTTCTGAGAGCCGATCACAGTCCCCGGGTCCAACCTGTCTACGACAATGCAGATTTCGATTATTTTCTTGCAGAAGCTCAAACGAGACTTCGGCGAGGAACGTTGGGATCAATCGTCTCAAACACGCCAAGATTTATACGATTAAAACGCAGATCAAATCCTAACTTTTCACTCTCTAGTCAATATTTGTGAAATATATGAGGCGGCATTCTAATGATCTGCCGTGTATTGTGATGTTAAACGATAAACCTGCCGTGATCAGCCGTTGAGTTTGGAAGCAAGCCTCAAACTGGTTTACAACAAATCCACAACTTCTGATCGTTTCGCAAGACATACCTACTTGGTCTAGGATTCGGTCTTGAGATGTCGGAACAGAACAGTGGCATAGGCGGTTGCACAGGTATGAAGTATGTGACGCATCATACCGACCCTAATGCAAGCAACCACCGTGTGCCCGAGCCACTACGAGTGTGCTAACAACCACCAGAAATTCATTTGGTCGCGAAGACCTTTAAGCAAGCGGCATATTCAAGTGCCGTTTCTTGTCCAGCTCCCTTGGTTACATCTACTTCTGTGGGCTACCCCGAGCCAGATGCATTAACCCACTCTTCTGTTTCAGGTGAGAAAGAAATTCAGCCACTGACTGAGAAACGTAGAGTGTTCCGTAGTTTCTTCAGGATGCAGTTTCTTTGCCGTATTTTGCAAAAGTGGGGCAGAAGCAAAGGAGTGCGCTTAATATACTACTCGTGGCACAGATTTATAACCTTTTATAAATTCCAGACAGCCGGCAAACGCTTCAATGAGTGGCTTCCCAGGACACTAATGTGCCTTCAGATCTCTGTGCTGAAGTAGGCTGCTAAAACAGGAGTACGATCGGTGACATAGATTCCGATGGGTACACCATAGACAATACAATCAAAGCACTAAGAGCAAGCGCTAACTGTGGAAAAGATGAGGTGCCATCCACGATTTACAAAACCCCGGTTGGCTGTCCTACTACTAGGAATGCATGTTCTTTAGTTAAAGTCTTTAAACCACTTCAGAATGTAAAAGTCACTGTCATATCGCCAAGTTAATGCGATGACAAGGATCGAAGTCTACAGCTACTCACTGATCGGTGTATCTTCTTCTGCCTCAGTGGTTAAATGTAATCAGAAACCCTTTTGCAGGCTGCCTGGTATAATCTATCTTGATGTCACCGCGACAACTTGGGGTTGCTTAGGCCAGGTTTGTCAATCCCCTGCCTTTCATAATTCGCCTTGATAGTATGGAACAGTGGTTCGAGATAAGCGGGACGTTTCTGTGCGTTGCGTGACCTGGAATCAGTGTGCATATGCCTCAGGAATCAGCACAGCCTGATTTTAAACCCCGAGAAATAGGAACCGAGGTATGTAAGCGACTCAAATTTGAGTTCCCTCAATGCCGATTCCCTTCTGCTGCCGCTACTGCCATGAACTCGGCCCAACCTAACGCCTGTCCAGTTGGCGTCTTACTTCTCAGGTTACGATGCTGCCTTCCTCTATCCCTACCGTAACCTTCCTAGCACCGTCGCCTCCTCTCAATTCCCTATCATTCCATACTATTCAAGTTTCTCAAAATCGCCATTTTCTTCCCTTCCTTTCCTGAATTTGACCAGACTTTTTCTTACATCTAATTTATTCCTCCTCCTCTCCGCTTTTCTCATTTCTCCCTCTGATTTTCTTCGGTTGTCTTTTAACTCTCCCTTTCGTTCGCTTGAAACCATGTTGCACATCTGCCTGGTGTTGCAACAGTTGACGAGGTCGTCTGCGCCACGTCCCTGACACTAACCCTTCACCTCTGTGAGTATCTAACTTGCGTGCAACTGCCCGTCATGTTTCCCATGGCCACAGCAAGTGTGTGTGCATCAGGATCCAAGGAAGACCTGGAACGTCCCACAAGATCTAGTATCGAATGCGAGGAAGTCAGTTGGTTTATACAAGATCTGGAGAAAAATATTTCGTATGAGATTGTGCTAAAGTTAGAATCTCATTATTTCAATCGCGACTGGAAGATTTTAAAAACCTGCATGAACCCTAAAGGAGTTATCATACTATGGCTGTCACGTGTGGCCGAGGAGGATGAAGACTTGATGGTGGCAGCTACAATAGAAGCCTTCCTTCCCAGCAGACATCACTCGACACCTGGAGTTCATATATACGCTCACAGGTCGCAAAGTGAAAGGGACCAAAAACAGTCAAGAACTAGTCGTTTATTTACTTGATTGTCCACTTACAAGACAAGAAATGGGCCAGTAGATTTCACCGAAGCCAGCTCACAACCCGTAGCTATGTTCCATCACGGAATCCGGTGAACGTTGAGAAAACGCTGATAACCACGTTTCAAGAAGAGAGCATTAACGGCATATGCACTATTGCGCTAAGCCTATTTAACAAAATACACGGGCAGCATGGACTAAGAATTGTGCTGAATGTTAATC